CTTCTTCGCGTCCCTTTTTTTNTTTTTTTTTTCTTTGCTTCACGATCCAATGGCCAAGGCAGATAGTCTGCGCAACAGACGGAGGGGATAGAGGGGTCAAGAGGCATGTATCAGCGCACCCTTGCGTGCTTCCTGTTTAGCAAGCCCATAACGCAGGGGTACGTAGCGCAGCTTCCGCAGCCCACTCCAACGCGTCGCTGTACGTCGTGGCGCAGGGCTTTTGCTGCCAATGATGAAGTGCGGCAGATGTACACCCCCGACGCGGAGCGGTACGAGGAGTGGTACAAAGCAACGTACGGCATTGAGGATCTTAGCGACGGGGCTGCCGCGTCCGGGGCGACCTCGAATAGGCGCTTAGATGATACAAAAAACATGGAGTCCAACATTTCCCTGGAGGACCTTCGCAGCGTCGAAGCAGAGATGGAGTTGTGCTCTCAGCAATTCAATCACAATACCTTGGTGTGTTGAGGGGGACAAAGTTGGAACCAAAGTAACAAACCTACCTGGGAGGGGGTGGTGGAAAGGACAGTGAGGTTGCCAATGGCGATGCTTCTTGGCTGTGCCGGGAGTTGTTTTTGTTTGTACAAAAGATGAGTCAGAGGTGAGACATGTATTTCCATTTCGCCGGGTTCGCTGTACAGGAATGCCGAATGACCTGACCACACTTGAAGGGGGCTTGTAGCCGTCACATCCCATGCGTGGGTGTTCAATGGGATTGCGACGCCATTTTGGGGCTGTGCCACGCGTTTTTCTCACCCCTCCTCTTTTTCTTCGGTTCTCTCACCTTTGTGTTTGTGTGTGCGTGTGCCGTTTTCTTCTTTTCTTTTTTTTCTATTGGTCTTTCCCCGCTTTGCCGGTGAAGGGTGGCTGTGTTGCGTCGTAGGTGTTTCTGTTCTTTGCTGTGGCTGCTCGCGCGCGAGGGGGAAAAAAAGAAGGCAAAAAAGGGCAACAACAGCAACAACAACAACAAAGATAGGAGGGACGGACAAGTACTGCAATTTCCGAGGCAAGTAGCCATTCGTGAGGCACTCCCCCAAAATCACTCACACAGGGGCGGCGCGCGTAAAGGGAAGGAGGGAGAGAAAGAGGAAGTAGACAGGAGAAACAAAAAAGAAAAAGAAAACTCGTGTTGTAACCGGTCGCGATGGAATTGAATTGTATTGGCGCAATGTGCGCCGCTATTTCTGGGGAAACTGCACCAGCGAATGAAGGGCCCTGTAAAAGCACGCAGGAAAGCGCTGCTGTAGAAGCTTTTGGGCATCGTGCTGTGTCGAATGTTGCGGACCCTTCGTTTCGGCAGAAGAATCTTCCAGAAGACGAGGACACGTCAAGGATGCCGAAGGACGAGGACACTTTTATGGCCTCTTTCAGTTCTTCCTTGTGCCTGACGGAGGCTGTCCAGACGACCACGAATACGCTCGGGTCCTCTACATTCTCTGGAGCTTCTGTGTTTCAGAATTCCGCCAATGCCTTAGCAGTGCTCAGGGAAACAGGGACCAAAAAGCTTCTTGCCTCACTCGGATCCGAGGTTGTCGGGCCTGCCGCCGAGTCTTGCTGCGATGCCCCCTTATTTCCAAACTATGACAGCCACATGGATCCAGCCAGCGCTCCCCCACCCTCACCGAAGCATGAGACAGCAGCAAAAGACTCCTGTTGGCTTGCTGAGGGTGGCGACATTTTCGCACTGCTCCATCTGCAGCCGGAGACTGCCGCTGATGGTATTTGGAAGTCCGATGCCACTAAGGAGGACAGCTTGGCGAAGGACGACGAGAGCTGTCTGGAAATGCCCCAGGTGCTCCCCATTCCCTCCTCTGCGTCATCAGAGTTCCTGGAGTCTGTCACAGAGGAGAGGTTTGATTGCATGCACGACAAGGAGATTAAAGAGAAGGTGATTCTTGTGGTGGATCCACGGCGTTCAAAGCTTCATGTGCCACTCAGCGCGATTTCTCCCACCAGAGCCCTTGAAGTTCGCGCACAAAATCCAAGTTTGTGCCTCCTCTTTCAGTCTGGTCGTTGTCGCCAAGGCGCCAACTGCCACCAGGTGCATGTGGATCCAGAGGTAGTAGAACGCTTGCGCCGGATCGTTGATAGCCTTCCATGTTGCTGCACATTTCATGGCGACTGCAATACACATTGCTGGAATGCGAAAGCCAACGCCAAGCGAAACTTGGTGATCAGTGGGGTAGTGGTGCCGCTCAGCCGTGTGGCCTTTACGAATGGACTAACTCGCTTTGTTACAGGCACGGCGCAACGGCCCCTGAGCCGTGGGGTTCTCTGTCGCCTGCACGGTAAACCAGGTGGTTGTCGCTATGGCGCGGATTGCTGGTATCTGCACGTGTGCCGTGAAATCCTGGAAAGGGAATTTGCCGTCGTGGTAGGATCCCAAACGACGAATTCAATAACTGAAGCTAGCGCGGTGTTGTCGCCAAATTTGGCTCGAAAGGGTCTATCTGTAACCCGTGACGTTCATGCAACGTCATTGTCTACGCAGCAACGGCGACCTCCGTCAAGTTTTCTTTCTGCGGAGACTCCGTCTCTAGCGGTGACCACAGCTCCCTTTTCGATACAGGACCACAAAAATAATGGGGGAGTCAGCACTGCGTTTGTGAGCCATGGCCCGGCTGTCCCTTCGGCAATTCCTTGTGTGTGGGTGCACCCCAATTCTCTGCCACAGAAACCGGTGCCGACGTTTGCAGGTGTGGCTGCTGCTGGGGATGCAGGTTTGCCCCGTGAGCGCTTGCTACAGGCCACTGTGGCTTGTGCCATGCCTTCCCAGGGGGGTTCCTCCATGTCTCTGCCACGCGAAACTGCCGTGTCGGTGTCCACTTTATCTCCTCATAACCGAGCGGCCTTCACGCTTCCAATGCAGGATCGGCTTGCAACTTCGCTGCCTATGCCACCTACCCCACAGTACCGCCTTGTGCAACAAACTCCAGTCGCTGGAATTACAGGAGTGCAATTGAACTCTTCCACTTCCGCCGAATACCATGCAATGGGCTTCCAACAGCAACAAGCGCAGCAGCAACAGCAACAACAACATGGGCCGCAGACATACCTGTTTCAGCAGGCCCCGAGCATGACGCTACCTCCGGCATTTATTGTTTCCTCCGCTGTTTACGCTTCGCATGGCCCCCTGGAAGGTTTTGTTCAGCCGCAAGCCAACGTGGGGCCAGGCATGGCGTTTCTCCCTGTAACCTCGTATTCGTTGTGAGGGGGAAACCATGGGGGGAGGCAAGACCAAGAACCATTCCATGCCCACGCATGAAGGAACAACAAAAACAAAAAAGAACTAATAATAATAATAACAAAGACAAAGAGAAAGGCAAGAAAATTTTGTGCGATGGAGCCCGCGACGGAGGAAGAGGAAGAAGCGCAGTAAGAAACGAAATGAAAAAAAATATCAGGATAGTAGAGAGAAGTAACGTGTATGTTTTTGTGATGCATGTACAGTTACACTGAGTGGTGAAAAGTCGGCTTTTACTTTATTTTCCTTATTTTGTGTTGGATTATTTATTTATTTAATTTTTATTTTTACCGTTCCACCGCCGTAGCGGACTCGCGGGTAGTTAGTCACAGTTTATAAGCTTGACCAGGTGTGTGGCACATTTCCCTCACCCTACCCATTTTTCCCAACAATACACATTGAAAAAAAAAACGAAAAGATCGAAAGAATTCATGTGCGTGTTTGTTTCTTGCCTGCCGTGCTTTCTTATTGACAGGGCGAGAAAAGCTTACCGAAGCAGAGACGGAGAACATGGGGTAATTTGCTCCATGACCTTGTTCATGTGTGTTTTTTTGTTGCTTCTTTTTTTTTTTTTTGCTTCCTCCTTGGCTTATTTTCAACGCGTGAGATTTTACGTGGATGGGGTTGTTGCGTGAACGGCGTAGGTTGTAGGGAGTAGTACGAACTGCTGTGCGAGTGGGGATCACAGGG